TCCCCCTTCCTTCTTTTGCTCTTTGTATCATATCTACTTATACAATACAATAGCTTCTCTCTGTCCTTGCTCCTCTTAATAACATCAACCTTTACCAACCTTTATCAGCCTTTATCAACCTTCATCAAACCATTATCTACCCAGAACAACATGTCGGCACAGAATCCATTTCCTCCTGATGGGGACGTTCTCATCATGTCACCCACAGGAAAAAATTGGAAACTTCATTCGTGGCAACTGGTGAACTTCGCGCCAAAAATCGGCGCCCTTCTCAAAAATGTTGCACCAAGAAATATCACCAAGACGATGCGCGCTGAAGCACACACTATCAGGTGGTGGATTGAGATGATACCATTTGGTGCCTTTGATGACCAACGATTCAGAGATTTCGTTTGCGTTGTAAGTTTTATGTCTTCTATGTTAGTCTTGATATTGCGTGGTATTGTGGTCACGCATGTCACCAAACACTTTCAGATAACTATACGTCTTCAAAGTCCAGAACAAATCCGTACTTTTACAAGTCTCTATAATGTCCACATCGAATTCAAATAATTGCTAACTTGAAGTCTAATACAGCCAGAAAAAAAGAAAGGAAAACTTAGCTTACACGGCGCTGGTGCTTTTAATGGCATTGGCGAGGTATCTTTCGAAAGAACCTATGACAACCTTTTCAGGATGTTGTACAGCATGCCCCCCAATCTCACAGACGATATTGATGACGGCGGTGCAAATTTGTACATCACCGATTGCGTTTCGATCTTACAAGCCGCCGCCTTTATAGGCAGCTTGCCTAGTGTTCGCACATATATTGAGAGCTATCTTCTGCGGATTAACCAGAAGCTCTGGGTCCACGTCGCAAAGGCCCCGGAGGCATGGTCTGATGTTGCTGTTCGTCTACAGTCGGCGATTATCTTTCGTGAATCCATCATTCACATCGCGGGTGGCCTCGAGCTTCCGGGTCTCATCAACAGAAGCAGTTTTGACAACATTGAGTACGGAAAAATCTGCCTTAAAGTTGCGGAACGTAAGTGTCGTGAGCTTAGAGACAAAAAGATCGACGTAGAGAGAAGGCTCTTGCAATACTATCCGCAACGTCTAATTCGGAGAGAGACCCTCGACAAGATTCCAGGTCGCGCCGATTATGGCTCCGACATCTACTACTGGCAGGCTCTAACAATGTGCCGTCAATTCTTTCAGTCTTCTATTATGGCGAACAGACATCATCGTCACGAAGATGGTGGCGTGGAGTTTTATCGTACCGTCTTTCGCTGCGATTATATCGACAAACACGCCGCAGATGAGTTCCATCAACTTTTTGCCATGTCGACCAAAGGAAAGCAGTGTCTCGCTGATGCTGTTGAAGTTATCAAGGATGACCATCGTGTTATCATCGCCGATCTTTTGGAAGATAACCTTCAGCTTCGTACGACTGTAAGAAGCAAGCCTTTGAGGTATCTTACTTGCACCAGGGTCTTAGAGGAAGAGCTGCCTTGGATTGCCAACCCCGGCTTGGGTGCAGGTTCTATCCCAAGACAAGCCGAAGATGGTGCTGCTAGTGACGGCTCTGCCAGCCCAGAGCGAGCTGCAGGGGAAATCATGAACCAGGGTGGCGGTCCTAGTTCAGAGAAAGTGCCATGCAAGAAGACTAGATCTGGCAAAGCTGCTGTGGCTAGAGACGAAGGAGAAGATAGCGAAGAGGAAGGCGAGCAACAACACAACGATGACGACAGTTTAAGAGAAGAAGACGACGTTGACGAGGGCGAGTATATGGGCGGAGCATAAAACTTTCTTTCGAGATCTTCTTCATGTTGTTGCGATGATCCTGGATTAGCGTGGCGGGAGTTCAACCATTTGTTTGCTAGTATGTTTTGAGCTTTTGATAATGATTTCTCAAAACGAATGTGTTATAGAGAGTTTGTCAAGAGATCGTTATCGCTTTTGATTTTGAACAATCAGTACTTTTCTGATTGATTTAGATAGCTATAGATAGGATAGCCTCTCAATTTCCAAGTTTACTTTATGAATTCGAACTCAGTGACCCAAAAACGCACCGGCATCAGATTCGTATAGCGAAGTAGCCAAGTATAATTTACACGAGTTCCACTCGGAAAGCGCGCTGACCTTAATTTGAATATACAGCCCCTGGGCAGACAATCAGGGTACCCACAAGATTTGAATGGGAGCGGCACACTCTCAATGTATTAGATACTTAAATCCCATACAGACATTCAAAGTATTTGTGAGAGCTGACTGGAAATGGGACATTGCCAATATGTAGATGCTCAACCTTGTTTTAGCCTCTTGAACTATCCATAAAAGCTAAATGGAAATGGCACACTTTGACAAGCCCGACCCTGGTACAGCTGCTGAAACTTAAGCACAAGAACCGACTTGGAAATATATACTTTCAATCTCTAACCCTTATACACACATTCAAACCACTGCAATCGGGGAGGTTTGACATCTCAAGCGAACTCTGACCGACACTACTACTTCCCGGAGTTTACTACAATGGTAGATTATGCTGCCGATCAATCAAAGTCGAGAAGCGTGATTTAGTACAACCCTTGGGGACTTTGTCATGCTCATGATCCTCATTATGCTGATCAACTTCTAAACCCTTGTCCGCAGATGAAATCACGACTTCGTTTGTTGAAAGAATCAGATTGTACATATTTATGGTCTTCTTCAGTTCTGAGAAGTTGTATTCGGGCAATTCGTCTGCCATCTTACATGAAATTAGTACCATTGTGTAATGTAATCAATGCAATGTGATATTGTTGTTCTACACGTATCGGTGTACGCAACGTGGATCGTGACACTAGAAACGTTTTGACGTGAAGTTCCAAATTAGCAATGGCGGGTTGTTACGTCAACCCGCATCATGTGCCCATCCTCACCGTGCGTTGCACGTATCAAATTCGGTACCGAGCCGGAGAAAAAAAAGATATCACCGCTTAAACTACGAGGTACAGTATATACCTAGTAATCACTTATGTTTATGAAAGAATAATGAGACATCAAGGTGTTCATGAATTGGGATGCCGTTTTGCCGTATTGGCGAAGCAAGCCGAGTATATCCTCATCTCGTCAGCTTCTTCGTCTTTGTCCGATATAACATGATCTGATATGAATGCACTTTGATTGTCATTGAGAATTATCAGAACGAAGAGGTGATTGTGAGTTTTTGGAAGGGCAAACGCCTCAAACTCCATCGTAAATCACAGGCCGTTTGCTGATCCATGCCCATTGACTTGAAAGAAGATTAAAAGTAACAAACCAGAACTTCGATTCCTCCGTTGCATATTCAACCTGCGTTGTGGACGTCATATGTAACCACGCCAGCAACCACAGCATACCCTTACGAATGCCGTCACTACCTATCCACGCCACTGGTCTTCCATTGGAGATGCGGCCCCAAAAGAAAAATGCGCGCTCGAAAAGAAATATAATTATTTATCTCCTACTCGCCTTTACATTCACTTGGATTCCATATACACTTTACTTCCGCCAAAGTTCTGCATCCAATGCCACTTTAATAATGGACGAGGAGAGTGGAGAGATCGTACAGCACGAATATGGAACGAATGCGCAACCCGCTTTTACAAATATGATACACCTCATGAATCTACCTTCCGATTACCTACCGCAGACAGGCAAACACCGGAAACCAAATCGCTTAATCATAGTGGGCGATGTGCATGGAATGAAAGATGCGTTGGTGAGTTTACTCGACAAGGTAAACTTCGACGAGAAACACGACCATTTGATATTAGCTGGTGATATGATATCTAAAGGACCCGATTCTCCAGGTGTCGTTGATCTTGCCATGAAAATCGGAGCTTCTGCTGTGAGGGGAAACCATGAGGATAGGATTATTCTCGCCCATGCCGATATGATAGCACAGCACAAGGAGATGGAGATGGATGCACCTGGCCCGAGCGAAGATCCGGAGAAAGTAGTTGATGGGTTGGAAGAGGTTAGCTTCAATCATGGAGATTACAAGGATCGAGCGTTGGTGAGGGCGCTGGGGGAGAAGAGGATCAAATGGTTGAAGAAATGCCCTGTGATTTTGAGAGTAGGACATTTGGATGGAATGGAACAGGTGGTGGTTGTTCATGCTGGGCTGGCTCCCGGGGTTGAATTGGAAAAACAGGATCCATCTATGGTGATGAATATGCGGACTCTGATTGATGGAGTCCCTAGCGACGAAAGAGATGGGAAACATTGGTATAAGGTAAGAGCTACTCACAGGCCACCATGCAATTATCTCGGACCTTTTCTAACAACAAAACCAATAGGTCTGGAATAAATATCAGAAGAAACTACCAAAGAAAGAACGCACTACAGTCATTTACGGTCACGACTCCAAGCGAGGTCTCCAATTAGAGAAATACAGCATGGGTTTGGATACGGGGTGTTTGAAAGGCGGCAAGCTTACAGCTGTAGTTATTGAAGGAGGAAATTCATCTCCGAAACACAAAGTCGTACATGTTAATTGTAAGGATGGGAGAAAGAATTAGGAGCAAAAGATGGGTTCGGGTAACCTCTTGAAAGATTTTGCATTAGATACCATTCAAGGCGTTTAGGATATCAGTTGCTCCAGATGGGTTAATGATTAGTATATATCACACTAACATGATTGGGGTTGATGAGTTTAATTTGGGTTTTATGGTATTGGATATGATGACATCCCACAAATGGTATTCTGGTGGACGAGATGGTACCTGAGTGTGAGTGCCAATTGGCGCTCACTGCAAATATCAAGCTCAGGTGGATGGCAGGGCATGATGGCAAAGCTCACTCTTTCCAGTTCGATTCTTCAACATACCAATAATATAGAAATTATTTATAGATTTAGATGCAATCTCCAGAAATAGATCCAATTTCCAGGTCGCCGTATGGCACTGAAGTGGACCCAAGTATATCCCTCCAAGAACATTGAAATGCATCCCAATTCGAAACCAAACTCCAAGTCTATTTCCCTTGCCTCTAGAGATCTAAACCACTTCATCTCTGCTCTCATCATGATCCACAACAATCACGATAGGAATGATTCTTTCATCCCCTGGCCCCCCCTTCTCCTCATCCTTGCTCTCATGATTAACAAACACAAAACTTCCCACCACAACCAATGCACCCACCCAATAAATTGCAGTGCTTGTTTGATCATTCAACCACATCTGGCCCACCAAACTCAACGGGATCGTCATACTCAAGCCTACAGTCACTACCAATGGCGTTGTTAGCAACATCGCATACGCCCAGCAATAGTCGCTTATAAAACTGCTTAAAGAGTTCAGTAACACTATGAGCCAGATTTTGCCAGTGGGAGGTAGCTCAAATGTTTCCACGCCGCTGAAATGCAAAATAAAGAAACCGGGCCAGAGAAAAACAACATTGAAAAATCCAACGAGCCCAAAGAATAGTGGCATATCGACCCGATCTTCGTTGCCGCAGCGCTTTTTCATCACTACTGCATACAGTCCATACATCACCGCGCTTCCAAAAGCCATAAGATCGCCAATCGCAATTTGCGCTTGGGATTTGTGGGGAAAGTTCCCACGGTTTGAGTCATTGTCCGTACTCCCTAGATCGACAGAGGAAATGAGGATGATGCCTACAAAGGAAGCCAGAACACCGACGAGTTTGCGGACGGTGAAGGATTCGACACGAACAAGCGCCCCAAAGAGGAGGGTGAAGATTGAGGAAGTGGAGGTCAGAATTGTGGAGGAGGCTACGGACGTGTATTCGAGACAGCCGGCCACGAGATAATTGGCTATGAACCAGAGAAGAGAGAATTCTAAAGAAAGTTTTGCAGTCTCGGATACACTTAATCTGTCTTCCTTCTCTTGTTCTTGTGGCTGCGGAAGATCTGTGTCAAGGTCGTCGGTAGAGCTTAGGAGACGGGAATGAGAAGCGCTCATAGAATCGTACTCTTGGTCTTCTCGACTGGATCCTCGGCGATGCCATCCTTTGCGGAGATTCTGGAGTCCGGTGCGGTATTCTGATAATTGGTCATGATAGTAGTCCACAGCCGAATCCTTCACATGTGACCAGCCATGCTCTCTCGATATTCGTAGAAATATAGGGATCAACGATACAGCAAAGAATGATGTATTGATATATGTGACAAAATATGGTTTCGAATAGGTATTATCGGCGAATATGTACTATCGTTCTCAGTATTAGTATTGGGTATTCGAATTCCTTGATGGTTTCCCAGCTCAATATACTAAGCTTGCCAAATGAGAAGCATACTCACACTAGCAAGAAAATTACTACTCGTCCATAACATCACTGTAACTCCCAATAGCACCATCCCCAGTGTCCTGCGCGCTACATTCTCTAACCCCACTCCGGCTCTAAATCCCACATTCTTGCTGCCAGTGCTTGCGGTTGCACTCGTGCCTGTGATCGTCCTTTCCAGCGATACTCTCTGGGTATATGTCTGCATTGTAGCAGAATCCGTTGACGCACTCATCGCGCCGAGTTGAACTGGTTGCGCCGTTGTACTTGGATCAAGTTGTGAGATCTCGTCCTTTAAACGCCTCTTTATCTTATCTATATCCCACCTATGCAACTGAAATTCGGACGATGTGGAGGTTGATTATGTGAGTTTTGTTTGGAATTTTGTAAGGTCATGGAGGTCGTAGACACATGCACATATGTTGATGCATTTAACAATATGATAGGTCTTATGATGCCATGCAGATATAATCAAAGTGCGAATCTGATGTTCGTCTTCGATGCGCGGGAGATCCCTATATAGATGAGGTAGTAGTGAATTCGGAACACTAAGGATTGAGCACGCGATCGCAATCATTAACAATCCTTCTGCTAGTTGGACTTTGAGAAAGGAGAGAGAAACAAATTATCAAATGAAAGCCACGCCAAGTGAAGGCTTACATTACTGTACCTAAGACCAAGACATTCTCATTTGAGGAAAAGAAATACGAAATAGCCCTTTATCGCTAGCTTATATGTACCCAGATAATTCTATGCGCTAATCGTTATCAAACCAAACTTTATCCAAGAGAATGGGGTTTGAAGGGGGTCCAAAGGTAACTTTGTTTCAATGTCAATTTATGTTGCACTACGTTACTTCGTACAAGGCTCACATCTGTCAAAGATGACTACTTATTCTAATGCAATAATATGGTTCATTCAAAGATGCTTTCATTACAGAACTATAAACCCGTCTTTCTCATTATGCGTTCTGTATCATCAAGGAAATAAGAAAATCGCAGACCAATAGCGCCAGAATGATCCCTATGTACAGTTGACGACCTTTCAAACTTCCAGTATAATTCCCTCAGTGGTCGAAAGGCAGGCAGAACGAGAGAAAATGAGACCAATGATTTCCGACCCCAACAAGTGCCATTTAGCAGGCACAACCATCTCTATCGTTCTCGATATGGATGTTAATTGGATCTGAGTAATCTCCGTTGTATTCTTCCGATTCCTCCTGTGCTAGGGCGTTTCTTGCAATAACTAGATTGGAATTAGCTAGGATCTGTTTGACGAACTTGAAAGTGATTTACCTTCAAAGGCTTGCTCAACATTGATGGCCTCCTTGGCACTTGTTTCGAAATATGGAATATTGCCCTTTGAAGTACAGAAAGTCATAGCCCGTTTTGAGGAAATCTGAACCATGATTAGCAAAGATACCAGACGACCGTTCCAATGCTAAACTTACCATTCTCTTGTTCTCTTCGACATCAATTTTGTTGCCTAGAACGACCTACGCAACTGTCAGTGCCATATCGGATTCCCGTGAAATTGCCAAACTTACAAACGGAAAGCTTTCTGGATCTCTGGGCGAGGCCTGGATCAGGAATTCATCCCTCCAACTATCCAATGTATCGAAACTCTTTGTATTGTTCACGTCGTAGACAAGGACACAGCAATCCGCTCCTCTGTAGAATGCGACCCCTAACGATTGGAAACGTTCTTGACCTGCTGTATCCCAAAGCTATATCCAATCATTAGCTATCAAATTCCAGCTGCTATAAAAAGCGCGAAACCCTCACCTGCATGGTAACTAATCGATCATCGACTAGGACCTCCTTTGTCAAGAAATCTGCCCCGATAGTCGCCTTGTAGCTTGCACTGAATTTCTTGTTGACCTAATCCAGTATCAGTCTCCAGTGTCGGCGTATACATCGCGAGTGGAAGACACTCGGTAGGTATTCAACGTACATATTGGTTCATCAAACTCGTCTTTCCTACACCGCTATCGCCGAGGATAATAACCTGCGGATCTCAGATCAGCACCAAACTATTCATCAGATCCCCAACAACAGTCTTTACCTTCAATAAAACCTTCTTGCGTGAAGCCATCTTTGCCTAGCTTGTGCTTGATCTAATCTTCCTCACGAAGCGCTAACTTTCTCCCTTTCCTCGATCTCTTGCTTAAACAAAAAAAGAGCGTAAGCACGTAGAATAGAGAATTGTTTCGGTCGTGATGAAGAGGATTATTTTTTCCTATCAAGAATTCGGGTTATGTATGTATTGATGCAATACTTAATATAGGTTTGGTTAATTGAAGAGGAGGAACATTACATCGGTAACTTTAAGCTTTAGTGCTTGCCTCGTGCCTCGTGCCTCTTCATTAAATTGCCCCATCCTGCCATTCAGCTATCCAGCCATCCATCGGAAACCCGCTAGCGTCGGCCGCTTGGTCCTATCAGTATTTGCTTATCGAGATCTATCCCACTACAAGAGGCTACAGCTCATCCACAGTACCAGCACACATTCACACATGCATACTGCATAAGAGAACTCCTTTATATATCCATTCACTTGCAGATTCTCGTACATGAAAATATCAGGCTAAACTTCTCTTCAACAACTTTTAATATTCATAAACTCAACTTTTCGTGGAACTCTACTGTAGGTAGAGAGAGATCGCATTCTATGATTATTTATTGACGAATAACTACCTGGATTGTCAAAGCAATGAAACCTCAACTTATACGTCAGCAACCAAGAGAACGAAACAATGGCTTCCTGGCGCGATGATTATATGAAAGCTCTACAAGATCGCGATGAGCGCGAACAAACCAGCTACCAGCGCTTTGATCCTTCTTTCATAGACGCTTGTACGGCACCCCTTCTGAAATGAACTTTGTCTAAAGTCTAATAACTTGCAAAAGATACTCAGCTGCTCGACAAAGTCTCTGCTCAAACTGCAGCTGCAGCTATTCAAGACACCCCATCTACCTCCGCCAACCCCTCATCCCTCTCTTCTTCCGCCACATCTCAAAAAGCAATCTCCAAAAAGGCAAATCAAACTCAATCCTCAACCTCCTCCGAGGTCCTTCAGCTCCGTGCTTCCTTATCCGAAGCACTCCGTTCCTCTTCGCACTTCCAATCGCGTTTGAAGACCACCGAAACCTCACTCCAGGCTTTACGCACCAAAAGTGCTTCAGTGTCCAAACAGTTGGAAACTTTAACTCGAGAACGAAATATTTTGGCGAGGAAAATTAGGGATCGAGATGAGGAATTGCGAGCTAAGACTAAGGGCTTTCATGATGTGCAGGATGAGATGATATCTCTGAATTTGCAGCTTAATATAGCCGAGCAGAATGAGAAAAGGGCAAAAGCGGAGAATAAAGAGTTGATCGATAGGTGGATGGCTCAAAAAGGAAGGGAGGCAGATGAAATGAATAAAAAGTTTGGGACCTGATGCAAGAAACTGATGATTGAATCAAGCTCATCACACTCTGCTTTAAAACCACCGAGAAGGATAAAATATGAAGGAATAATGGTTGCTGTTACAAATACATTCATTTATCCATACATCTACTCTATGCCGACTCGCTGTGATATCGCTTTGTACTGAAGTACCCAATAATAACCTGCCCAATGGTATCAACTATGTAAGGAAACCGTATATTCAAATTCACAAATCATCTAACCCGACTCCCCCGTGTCTTTCTATCCTTTGGGGTCTTGTGATAGTTAGCCACGATAGTGCTGTCCTTCGTAGCAACGTAGTAATCCCCTCCATTGGAATGCCAACTAACATCGCCTTCCGCATATGTTTTCTTTTCAACTCGCAATAGATTGATGGGATTGTGTTCATTGTAGGAATTTATAACATGACCATCTGGCACGAAAGTTTTTAAACTCACAATCTTGCAACCCTCTTTTAAATCCAAAAATAAGTTCACAAGACTTTGGTTCAAGGCAGGTGCAAAGACTTGGTTGTTAACCAAGATAACATCAGCTCTCTTCATCACCTTGAGAATGTTTTCGTTATTCAAGAAATTTCCTTCCTCGAGGTTGACTGACCCGGCGCTGAGGCCCCAAGCCCTGCAACGTGCAGAAAATTCTGTCTGTTGTAAGGAAGCCAGCTTACAGCAGTTAGGCATTATTTCACAACCCCAACTTTCGCAACCAACTTGTAGCGCAGCATGCACAACGACATTTCCTACCCCCGAACCAAGATCTATGAAGACTTGATCTGATTTCATCCGAGTGTCTTCCCTGAGAATTCTGGATATAAACGGGAATGTGAGCTCGCCGTAAACATAATCCGTTCCATTTTGGTATTTATTAGTCAAGTCAACTTGAGGAGACACTGCTCGGTCGTAAACTTGCTGGAGAACCATCTTGAGAAGCTTAGACGATAGTGAATGCTTATTTTCTAAGTTTTTCGCCAGCGATCCATCTTTGGTGAGTGTACTGAGCGCGTCATTGTAAGCCCCCACAGCATTCCTGAACTCTAGCAACAGCCCCTTCATTTTCTCTTTGTCGTGGGGCTTTTTTGCGGTGGACAAAGTCCAAGTAATATTGTTCGTCGCTTTGTTGATTTTTCGAATTATACCTGTTTCTGGATGTGCGAACTCCGCTGCTTGCTCCTCAGTCAAATATTCGTCTTTGACAATTTCCACAATCTTCGGTATTTCGTCATAAGGGTTAATCAAATCTTCTCCTGCGGGATCGATAACCTCGCCTTCCGAGATGAGTTGGTATCTTTAGTGACGGAATTGATTAGCTGGGCTTGACTTCAGATTTTAGGAGTTGAATTCAGTAATTACCTTTCTCTTCGACTGACACTGGGATATCTTAGAAGGACCGCATCGCCCTCTTCCTTCTTTCTATCGCAAACTTTCTCGCCGCTCTTAGCCGTGCGTTTCGTCATCATGACATCGGCCGCGTGGATCATTCTGCATGTAGAGCCTTGCGCGTTATCGGTTTCAGTTGAAAAGGCCTTTTTGTCCTTCAGATTCCTCTTCAGATCAGGCTCAATGTTTTCCGGCTTGGCCCGCTTGGAAGACACGGCCACCTCTTCATCTTCCTCGCTATCACTCGTCAACGGCTGTTGACTCGGGCTTTTGCGAAGAGTTAAAGTTGTGTTTTTCTTGGTGTTACGGCTTCCGCTGATTTCTCTTTCTTTCCTTTTCTTTCCTGCCTCGGGGGGAGGGCTTGGGACGGCTAGTCTGCCACGAGCATCAGTGACTTTTGATACAGGTGTCCCAATTCGAAGGCCATTACTGGATGTCCTACTAGATAAAGTCGGCCTCTGTTTTGGAACTTTTTCGGATTTGAATTTTGGTGCCACAGGTTTAATATTCGTCAGTCCAAAATTCAAGCTCATTCCTGCAGATTTTGAGGATAAGATGGAGAGTAAACAAATACACAAATGTTTGCCAAATACAAAATAATGGAATGAAATATGTTTTCGACGGTAATTATAAGATGGGTATAAGCGCTGCGTGATGTGAAAGCTGAAGTAGGTATTGTATGCAGTGTATATCTTGAAAGAGTAAATTTATTGAAGACTAATAATAAAGACTTGCAGGCAGGCACGACTCAGAGGGCTGTTGTATGCAGAGATCTACACTAGTGTTGATCACGTGTCGAGATTCTAACAAATAGAGTTTAGAGTTCACAATGATAATTCGTGATGTTTGTAAGTATGAATTACGATTGTTTCAATAGAAAATCATGAATTTTGTTGGTGTCAATATGTACCTACCTATCTACACACTTATTATTGATCAGTCAACATATGATGGAAATTGAAAGTTATAGGAATTGAGAATAGAGGACATACTTTTGATAGACTGACTGAGGACTGACCCGACTGTGGACTGATCATGGACCTGACCTACCCTACTGTGTACTAGACATCTTTAGCTCCCGTTAAGGGACTTTTCAAGGGATTGTTAAGAGATTGTTCTGGAATGAGTGGAAATAGATTCGGGATAATTCTATCCCGGATAACACTGGATAACACTGGATAACGCTTGACCAAAAAGTACTGCACAACATCTTTTTCATTGCTCTCCAAAGTGATCAAGGAAAGCATCAAGGGAAAAACTTTCAAGAGAGCAGAGCTTTATATCTGAATTCTAGCAGAGGAAATGTGCATATCATAATCGTTCATTATTTGACAACCAGGCTGTCTGATTCGAATATACAAAGAGTGGTGGAATCCAACAGTATACCTAGCAAGAGCATGATGCTAATGTCACAGACTGGACACAACACTTTCATCTGTTGATTACTTTGTGATATACATAGGTAGTTAGCAGATAGATCATTTGCTAGATCTTGTTTAAATCTTGTTAGTTCTTCATATTGAACATCCGAAAATGACTTTGGTAAACCTTTTTGGCTATTTCATTCCCTAGTAATGTACAAAAATAATCTCAAAGGGGCAAACACAGATACAGCATTCGGCAGAAAACATAAAGGAAAACCTCAATCATTTTGGAATCATGATCATCTCATATCACGTTATCATTCAAACTCGGCTTGTTACTGATGGAGTCCTTGAGAGATAGGAATCTACGATTGCAGTCAAAATATAATAGGATGATAGCATGCAATTGGCTGTATAAACAAACATGGGGAATGTGAGAGTGAGGATCATTCATTATTCCTCAAAGATAAATAACTTTTGTATGCCCAGGCTTACTTTTTGGAAAACAGGAGAGCAGACCATTGAAACAACACACAATAGACCCAAGCAGACCCAAGTGTATGATATGACAGATAGTCTAACATGTCAGTCAATAACACCATGCGCCGCCCCAAAGAGGTAGATAACATTGGTGTGTAAAGACCGCCCATATTCAATCTAGGTTTTACTAGTATAGCAAAGTAGAGTAAATTCCAGAAAAGCTTCGTGTATGTTGTACGTCTGTGATATTGTTCTGGGCCAGTGAGGCTAAACATGGGCATAATGAAAATCTAGGCACAAAGATTTATGTGAATCCAACGCCGAAGGAAATCGTTTTGAGAATTGAGCATCAGAAAATTAATCTTTTTGCCATGTAGGAGCAGTGAAGTCAAAACTATGCTCAGTGCACCGAGAATGCTTGCCCGGTTTGTCAATGTTTCATTGAAACCATGACGCCTCTCAAAATCTGTTATCTAAGAAGCAATAGCACGTTGGCCTGCGTTACCACCACGGTTATTTTTCTTGGGTTTAGACACTGTGCTCCAGCCATCCTCTTCCATGACTGCAGTTTCAGTTGTAGCAGCAGGGCTTTGGGCTGGTGCAGTCGCATTTTGTCCCCCACCATTTGGATTTTGTCTGTGGTTCCTTCCTCCATCGTTTTGTCGTGGGCCTCTTGGTGCATAATCACCTCTACCCTTGGGTCCTCTTGGAATATCATCCCTGGGTGGCTTAGGTCCAGATGGACGTCTCCAGGCTCCCGTATCAGATGGTTTTGGTTTGGCATCTCTCACAATCTCTTTTGGCTTGACAGCCTTATCGTCAACAATCTCACCGTTTGCATTCTCGGTTTCAATTGTCTCTCCTTCCTTTGTTGCTTCTTCGCCTTCACGTTGTAGGATTTCAACTTTCTTCTCGTTGTCTTCAGTTTCCTTAGCCTTTGCAGCCTCTCTCTCCTGCTTGGCCTTCTCATCGGCCTCCTTTTTCTCTTTGATGGCTTGTTGTCGCTTCTCCTCAATTTCCTTCTCCTTGGCGGCAGTATCAATTGGACGAGCAGCTCCAAATGGACTTGCCTTCGCATCACCTGCGGCAGATGACGAGGACGAGTCAGCAGGGGCCTCGGAAACGGTGCGCTTTGCAAGGTTCAATCTTGGTCTACCACCAGCCGGGGCAGATGGGAGGGCTGGAGAAGCTGGAGCCTCGCTCCCTTCATGGGATAGAACAGGTGACTTTGCAGCTGGTGCAGCTGGTGGGTCGGGTCGCATTTTGCTACGCCATTGGTTGTCTTGATCGGCGGCGGTGGGCGCACGCTCAGCGACGGGTCGCTCTTGAAACTCACGTCTGGGTGGTCTTGATCCTTCTTGCGAGCCAGAGCCTTGACCTTGGGATCTACCTTCACCCCAAGCAGCTGGCGAAGCTTTGCGATCTCTGAAACCTTCGGCTCTTGGTCCATCGTTTGTACGGGGTCGGCCACCTTCTCTTGGAGCACGTTCCTGTTGGGCGAGGGGTGAGAGTGGACCCTTTCGTTCCCAATTTCCAAAGTCTCGAACCTTGCCATCACTTTCGGGCTCACGGGGGGCTCTACGCTCGCCACCTTCCTCGCCAAAACGGCTAGATTGGTATCCTCGATCCGGAGTGCGACGCTCTCCTCCACGGCCCGGTAAATCGGGTAGGGGTCCCTTTCTACTCCAGTCTCCGAGCTCTCGTACATCTGGACGGTCACCACGATCCTTCGCTGTAGCATATATTAGTATATAGCGCAAGTACGAAGGGTATCAAACTTACGAGGATCAGCAACACTGATTCTAATGTTACGTCCTTGGAACTGAGTCTGGTTCAAAGTCAAGGCGGACTTGAGACCTTCCAAAGAGCCAAATTCTGCATATCCGAATCCCTTTGGTTTCATCTCCATCTTATCCTCAATGATGCGAACATTGATACATTCGCAGCCGACGAAGAATTCGTTAACATCGCCGACGGTAGCATCGAATGAAAGGTTTCCAAGATGAACAGTGTAAGGTGGCTTGTCGGGAAGAGGGAGTTCCTCGCGAACGGAATAACCTATCGAAAGTTAGAATGAGAAATTCATTGAAAAGGGTGGTTTGAAGGAAGGTGATGGGAGATTTACCTCCGGCATTGTTGCCATAAGTACCAGTGGTAGAGCTATAGGTACGTCTCTCATTGCTACTTCCACCATATCCAGAAGGGCGTGAGTCTATAATAATTAGTATTCATATTTTTGCGAAATTGGCCACGATCAATGTGCGTTTGTATTCACGTACCAGCTGTGATAGATGGAAATTAGCAAGGCTCCATATCGATATAGGGATGAAACAACTTACAAACTGGCATATCTTCCATCTCATCGGCCATGATCCCAACTCTACATCGATATTAGTATGGAAAAGATTATTGTGAGGACGGTAGGTGTTTTCATACTCTCGTCAGCCAAGAAGGTCCCGAGGGACATCTTCTGCTGTTCCTTCTTCTTAGGAGCTATGGCATAACTACAATTAGCTATCATATACTCGATATTTTAGAGACCCACACCGACAGTATCATGGTCGCGATAGTCGATGAAAGGTTAGTGAGGGGGAGCGCTTACCCATGATTGCGGTTTTTTTTCTTAGGACGCTGCGCAAAAGTGTTTGCGCGTTGTCCGAGACAGAGTATTGAAGGTACTACGAAGTCCCTTCAATCGATCGTATGTATTTAAGGTTTAGGTATTCCTTGGGATATTCGAGGCTCGTCGAATATCTTTTTGTGTATTGGTAGGAAGAGGTCGAGGTTCTTCGTGGTGGGTTTAGATTCCAAAATGGAAGAATTATTAAAAGTGCGAAGTTTGACAAGGGTTGTGCGAAACTAGTGGGGCAAATTCTTTCACTCGTGCTGTGTTGGTGAATTTGCGTTTGTTCAATGATATGGAATTTTTTTATCGAAATCGTATAAATGATTACATTCACATTCATATTTAAGAGTTAATTCGTATTTTTGAAATTTTGAATTTACCAACGAGGAAATCATCTCTCATTGGGTAGGATTAAATAGTGAAGTACCTGCTAGATATAAGTTCCGTCTCGTATATACATAGGCAGGTACCAGTAGGTACGCAGTTTTGATATCTCAGCCAGATAAATACACGACATTGCAAAGTAAATATGTAGGTGAAATCTATATTCATCCTCTTCAATTCAAACATTCACTCGAGACTAGAGGTTATCTACACCAATTCTATGTTGGTTGATTGACAAGTTGAGCATCAGATTTGGAATAACATCATGATATAAATCTCAGAAGCTCACATACCAGTACCATGCAGCCAAACTCTTGTTCCCTTCGGAAAATAAGAGACGATATGACAACTCCTGGAGCAAAGGAAGACTCTTCTCCCTCAATGGCTCCCACCAATCAATCCCAAGGCCCCAAATCGGGCGACTTACCCCCTGAGTTGATGGATATTATAAAGCCTGCTCTACAATTTGGTGGCCTTTCTGGTATGTCCTAGTCTCGGTCAATCTCTATCTCCTGTTTGTAGAAACAGAAACATCTGTACGCCCCAGCAACACTTTCGACTCATTATCACGTGTAAATCTTCACACACAAGTCGCCTAACCCCCTCTCACATTTCACAAACCAATCATGTCACCTTCCCAATCTCCTGATACTATCAAAGCTAACAAGCATCCTCAGCACTTTCTGGCACTATAATTGGTGGATTTTCTGGTATCCTCGTGTCTCAAACTCCAGTTCTCTTCGCCGTCGCCAGCTCTATTCAATGGGGCATTCTTGGTACCACCTTCTGGGGAACCCGTACTGCCCTTCTCTCCCGTTATAAGACCGCGTCTATACACCCGACGCCGCAAGAGAAAGCGCTCTCAACTTCCCTGGCCGCTTCTCTTGCTGGCGCTACTGGAGGTATACTGCGTGGCCCAAAGAATATTCTGCCTGGGTTTGTCGTTTTTGGAGCTGCTGGATATGTAGGACAAAAGATCTATGATGCTGTGGACGAGAGAAAGATGGAGGAGTTGAGGCTGGAGGAAGGTGGGCATAAAAAGAGTGGAGATGATTGGATGAACTCGAAATGGGTGCCGTGGAAGAAATTATCTGATGACGAGTATGAAGGAATGTTGAAGGAAAGACTGTTAAAGGTCGATGCGGAGATTGAAATTCTGGACGAAAGTCTGCAGGCTTTACGAGAACAGCAGAAAAACGAGGTTGGAAAGCTTCAAGGAACAGTTGAAAAGAATCGTTAGCTACCTGTCTAGCTTCTATACACCATTGAAAAAAAGTCATCGCCTACATGAAATTTTAGCATTGATTCATTTGTAGCCTGCATTGTCTCTTTGTGAAAACCATCGAATACAGCATATGATCTATTTTAACATATGAAATTTAATTGATTTAGTGCTACATTTACATTACGCCGTTGATTTCCTTCCCAATCAAAATTTATTGCCCGTACAAAGCTTTTTTGGTATCTTCTGGTTCACCATGATGACTATCACTCCTCATCATCCTTCTTCCCAGACCTATTTCTTACCCACTCCTCAGCGATCGCTCTTACTTTTTCTTGTGACTTTTTGTCACCATTAGCTTCCTCCCACTCGGTCCATCTTTTGAACCACCCCATCGCGCCCTTGGGTTTCAATCCCTTGATTCGAGCTACTCGTTCAAACACACCTCTAACAATGCTCTTATCACCTGCCTTAATTTCCAGATCCAAAAGCTGGCCCCAGATATCCAATCGCTTACTCCATTTTGCCAAAACACCCTCGAAAATTGTGCGCCCACGTTCTGGAGAGCCGTGTTCAGAGCGGAATTCTAGCGCTGCAAATTTGAGCGTCAAGGGAAGATGGGTGTGGGGAGGAAGAGACTGAGTTGCACGTGGAAGGAGAGCACGACCACGATCAGGGGCCGCGAGAGTATTGAAAAGAAAGTGTGCATAATTGACCCAAACGGTGGGAGATTGTGAGAATTTCTTAGTGAGAGCTTGGAAGAGTTCATCGGCTTTCTGTATGGCTGTTAGCTTGTATGTTTGAGATTATATAAAAGTATCCCTTACCTTATTTTTGCCAGATTGAATATAGATACTAGCCAGTCTCTCGTGAACCTCTTGGGCATCGTTGTACTGGCAAGCTCGCTTAAACACAGCTTCGACAGTTTCGTCACTTCCATATGCAATCTCCAGATTGAGAAGAGCGAGCCAGATATTAAGCTTCTCAGTTTCCTCACGCATGTTGATAGTTTTGATGGCACGCTCAGCAATCTCTCTGGCCTTGCCTAGCTCGCTGAGTTGCATCTGGAAAGCCATGTACTGGGTCCAGAGGCTGGAAGAGTCTGGCTGGCCCAAAAGGAGACGCTCGAAGTCACTGACAGATTGCGGTCCATTGGCATCAAGGTCACCTGTTCTATCGACCTTAATCTCCGCCTTTCTCTTCTTCTTTTTGGGTTTCTCTTCGGCAGCTTCGTCATCGGAATCTGCATTGGATTGGCCATCAGCTTGGTCCAGGAGATCAGCAGACCAATCAAATCCGCCGGCGCTAAGAGCGGGGACATCGCCTTCAGCATCAGGCATTTCCTCGTCAGAATCTGAGGCTTCGTCTCCGTCCTCTGAGGCACTTTCCAGGTCTTGCACATCATCAAGGTCGATACCACCTTCACTGTCATCCTCATCATCATCGATGTCCATGCTGTCAAGCTTGACGCCATCCACACCGTCATCATCACTGTCATCGTCAGACTCGTTTCCGTCCTCAAAGTGTGAAGCTTTCATAGAGAAACTAATACGTTTCTTCTCGGTGTCCATCTTCAATACGATAGCTTTCACTGCATCACCTTCAGAGTACAGTTTTTTGACGTCGTGGACACGCTTTTCGGCCATTTCACTTTGGTGACAAAGGCCGCTCACATTTGCAGAGCCATCAACAACAATAAAGACACCAAAATCCTCGACTTTACGAATTTTTCCGGTAATAACTTGGTTCACTTGGATATCGTTGAAGGTCAAAGGCGCAACGTAATCTTTGTCGATAACAGAAGGCTTAAGACTCAATTGAACATGGTTCAAAACTTCGTCGACAACTGTGACTTTGCCTTTGACCAATTGGTCAACCTGAAATTCGGATTTCCAGTCTTTGATATAAGAGTCCGAAAGGTCTGAAATTCGAACATACGCCGTCACATTACCCCCCAAGTTGACAAACAGCCCCTTGTCAGCAACGTGTTTGACAAATCCACGCACAATGTCGTTTACTTTCAGTTGTGAAATGGATGAGATTTCTGGATCTTGAACTGCCGCTGATGAGTTCATCACTCTGGATGCTCGAGTCGATAATCGAACGCGTTTGTTGGGAACATCGATATCAGTAACGCAAACACGAACAATATCATTCTTAGAGTATTTGGAAGGATCAGCTTCTGAATAGTCGTCGCAGAGGTCTGTAAGATTTATTGGTGCAGATATGCTATCAGTAAGCTGTACCATGACCTGTCTTTCATTGACTCTGGTGACTTTCCCTGGTACGATCATGCCTTGGCTCAGCTTATCAAAAGTAAGGGCCTCGGAATCTTGACTAGAGCGGGCAGACAAATCGAGACGGTTCGTTTCAACATCGATGCCCTTGACGTGAACCCGAATGGCAGATCCAACGGGAAAGTTTGCTGCTAGGTCCTTGAGTAATGATACATCATCTGATACATCTAGAGCGCTGATTCGGCCACGCACATTGGGAGATAGGTTTACCCAGAGGCAATCAGCTCCAACGTTATTGACGAATGCTAACCAAGAAGAGCCAACTTCAATTTTGTCTAAAGATACAGGATCTTGTGCAGACTCAGTTTGATCACTGGGCTTAGCAGACAGTTCAAAGACTAGGGTCTTGCCAGATCTGTGACTGATAGGCAGGAAGCGATGGTTACGCGCATCGTGTATTCCTAAAACACGAACATCGACAATTTGCTTCGGCGAGAATGACTTGAGAGGCTGCTTTTTGGATTTTATCTCCGACCAAGAGTCAAAGGCTTGTGACACATCAATTCGGCCTTGGATGTTATCGGCAAGTTGCACATTTACTTGGGTATCCTTAACAGACGAAACCCTTGCCTTAGTAAGGCGACCAAGTGTAATGTCATCAATACTCTTGATAGTTTCATCGATAGGGTTCACAGCTTCCAGATTGGTACCAGGGGCTAAAGGCTCATTCGACTTCTTGTCGGAAGTAGCATCAGCCATAGATAAAAGAAATCTCCGTTGTCCATGGTCGATAGTGAGAACCTTGACCTCTATTGTTTGGTATTTCTTAAATCCAAAGTCTGGTAAACGAAGGTTCTTTTCGGGTATCTTATTCTTAGGCAGAAGCCCTGTAAGACCGCCTCCAAATTGCACAAAGACTGCTGTTAGTGTTATATTTTTAACGAATCCATGTACTGTCTTCTTTTCCTTGACGTCATCGAACATTCTCAGTAAAGTTTTATTCTGGGCGGCCTTGACAAGTGCAGGTTTATTCGTTAGGACGATCAGACGCTTTTGCTCAAGCTTGTCCAGTACAGCAAGATCTGACAGTACTTGACCAACACGGATGTTCTTAAACGAAGAACGGCTTTTGTTCTC